GGACATCGTAGACCTGCTGCCACGCTGTTCAGGTCCTAGAGCTCAGGCTGCGTCCAAAATCACTCACTGCTCACCGACTGACTTTCATTTCCATGTGCCTCAGAATGTAGTCGGGATTCATGGACTCAAAAGTATCCCACAATGCATCGTGAAAATAAGAAATTGCTAATACAATTTTATGTTATAACATTTGAAGTGGCCGCTGAGTATTTTCTACAAATGCTAAAAGGTGTGCCTTATGTAAACATACGAGTAGTAACTTGGCATTACCAAACTTGAAGTATTGGAGCTCAAATTCTCAAACCTAATATGATTGTTTTTGATGGTTTAATTGTTATTTTTCTCATTCACTGTTATCTTAATCATTTCACTTTTTTTTAACGTTCTGCATCAAACATGCTGGATGAGGAAAAAACACCCAAATATGTTTTTGTACTTGTGTTTCCACAGATCTCTAAAAAGCTTTTATAGAAAGATATATCGAGTATTTTCAGAAGGAGTGTTTTTACATATGTGAGGCGTGTGGTTCAGTGGGTAGTGCGTTGGTGTTGGGATCACGAGGTCACAGGTTCAAACCCCACTGCAGTCGGCATGTCGTTGTGTCCCTGAGACGCTTCACCCCAAATTGCTCCTGTGGGGATTGTCCACAGTATTGAGTTTGTAAGTCACTTTGGATAAAAGTGTCTAACAAGTGTAATGTAATAATAACATATAGTGAGCGAGTGAATCATTTTGGACACAGCCTCTGCTCTAGAACAAAGACACAGCGGGGTTCTAAGTGATAGAACCCTTTTTAAAACATAGATTAAAAGGCAGCCATGTTCTAAACCCTCCAGGAGTTTTAGGCAAAAAATCTGTCTAAGCGTTCTGAACCTCTCTAGATTGTACGGGATGAGCGATGAACACAGCAGACCATTTCATCCAGCTCCTACGAGAGGAACTCTTTCTCCAGCTCGAAGACGGAGGGCCGCCCCGGGGAGCTCTGGATGCGGCAGAGCGGCACCGTGCAGTCTCGTTTCTGGCCCTCCGTGTCCATGTCCAGCAGCGAGCAGCCCATCCCCACGTCGGAGGACAGCACCACGCTTATGTTTTTAGCCGCCTTCTCCCCGGAGTAGTGGCCCAGGGAGTAGCTCTTGTTGCGCCCCCGCAGCAGGGCCCAGGCATGGGGTTTGGCCCTGAAGGACACCGGCCGGGGTCTGGAGAACGCCTCCCCTTTAGAGGGCTTCTCTGAAACCTCCTTGTCTTTCTGCTGCTTCTTCTGCGTGGAAGGAGGAGGCAGAGTGGCTGGACACAGAAGGAGGAGATACATTTGAGCATACATTCTATATTTTTAGGCCATACACACACATGCTTATTTCCCTTGAGCTTCCCCATGTTCTGTGATACTCACTATTGTGGTTGGTGGAGTATTTCTTCCTGCGCAGACGTGGCCCTGTGTTGTTGTTGTTGCTCTGCTCTGTCGGCTGGCTTTTGGTTTGCACTGGTGTCTGTGTGTTAGCTGCAGTCCTGTCATTCTGGCCTTCTGTAGGAACTGCTGTGATGGGCCCGGGTGTCTCTGTGTGATGATTGGCCGCCACAGGCTCCACCTTCCCCGGGCTGGTCTTCACCGCAGCCGCCTCCTGTGGCTGGCCGGGACACTTGTTGGAGTTGCATTCCATAATGGCCGACATGGAGATGAGATTGACCGGCTGAGCGGCGGCGGGGTTTGACGATGCCTCGTTTTTCTGGGGTCGTCCGCTCGGTGGCGAGGTGCTGCGGCGGAACCGCGTGGCCCGCTGAAAAAGCCCCTCCTTCTTCTTCTTCTCTTTCTCCTCGCGCTGGGGCTCGCAGTCCTCCACGGGAGCCGAGTTCTTGAGAGCTTCTCTGATGTCATAACCGAGCACCACTGAAGCCAGCAGCGCGCCGCAGCCGTAAAGCGCCGAGTCGGTCTTACGGCGCGTCGATGCCCGCTTCAGGCTGTTGGTGGGGGTGAGCTGGGGGGTGGTGGAGCTGGACGAGGTGGAGGTGGTGGTGTACGGGTCGTCCGGGGTGTCCGGGGCGCCGCCCTGACCTGCTGTGCCGATCCCAGAATCCCCCGACCCACAATGCCCGGCGGGGCTCTGAGGCTGCTGCTCGTCCCTCCACATAGGTAGATCAATGTACACCTGGTTGGGGAACTTGAGCTGCTTTGGCTTGGAGCTGTCAGGAGAATCCTGGGAGAAGGCCTCGTCTTTACCGCCGCCCGCTGGACACAGAAAGAGGAAATCAGTTATAAAGTATATATGATATGATATATTCTCAAAACCCCTTGTTTCAAAGACATGCGGTACGTATCAATATCCTTGGGAATACTGATTGCATTGCATACATGTGTTTTCCCCTGTTTAGGAATATCTTACGGCAGAGTAGATAGAGTTCCCTGCCACTTAACAACACATTAATGAATTGTGTTTGTCTGATAAACCTCAAAAACATGTAAAGTAAACTAAAAGTAAACAAACACTTAGATTTTTAAATATGTTCAGTCAACAGTTATTATTCACTTGAGGCATTTTAAAATGCACATCATCACAATGGATTTCCAGCGGACCTTGTTCAGTAAACAGGGCGGCGAGGGGGACAGACTTCTGGGATTTGACCAGGCTGGTGGACCAGGGGTTACTGCCGTCTGACAGAGGGCGCACTCTGAAAACAATTTGGACAAGAAAACATGAACATTTGAAAATGTTGACTTGTAGTAGCCTCTTGCTTGTGGTACGATGTTACCTTGTATTGTATATTTCTGTGTAAAAGAAAAACATATCACTTCCTATCTTAACATTTAGACATGAGGAGGTTATACTGTTTAGGGTCAGGAGCCAACAATGTGTGTACACTGTACCTCTCAGCAGCAGCAGGCCTCTCTTTGCTCTGGACTGAACTGGGGCCCCAGGTTCTTCCTTTCTTCTTGATTCCCTTTCTCACATCCTCAAACTCCTCCGGCCTGAAGGGGGTGCTGCGGCCCCATGTACGGTTGCTCTCATCTTGAGTTACTGTAAACACAGGACCATAAATGTTACCATAAACGAAAAACTACTGAAGGAGGATATCAGAAACCCCAGCCATGGCAGGAAATCCGTTTGTGATCTATCTCACTGCAAATATGTTGCAAAGATAAGTTAAAAAGTCTGAATACGCCAATCTCTCTTCAAAGTGGAGGGATTGAATGCCATTCTACACTTGATTGATATACGCTTTTAATTATTAACAGAGTTTAATTCAGGGAAGATTCAGATTTGTTGTGTATTAATTTAAGAACTTTTAAAAGCAAAGAGCTGAAGACACCAAAACCCCAAACGCTGTTGTTATAAAAGCTTTTTATAGCTGCGGGTTAGTCATTGTGAAAGTGTGAGTGAAAAGATGGTCCACCAAAGATTTCCGGGCAACAGACTCGGGCCAGTACATACCAGTATGTTTTAAAAAAAGGGCCAATTATTTTTATTCCAACCAAATAATATAAAAAGATTAAAGAACAAATATGAAAGCTGACGGCCCAAGTCTGTGGCAATAACCTCATCATTAAAGTACCTGTGGAACAATTTTAAACAGCAGCAAAAACACCAAAGTTTTGTTAAAAGGATCACATCAGGGAAACCTTGTCAATCATCACATACAGTCCCAGTGAAAGCTGTTAGGCCTCAAACCCTACTGTCAGTGAGCCGAGCATCACATGCAGCGCTTGGTGCTGTTAGCCATACGCTCTGCATGTGGTTAGCCAATAGCTTGCCTTTCCTCCTGAGCCCGCAGGAAGTTGTGAGCTCGCTGGTCAGATCAACTTCCTGTTGGTAAACATACAAACTGTCCTTTCGCATGTGGGACGTCACTGAGGAGGAAAACATGCATGTTACCTCTGACCAACTTCAAGGATTCAAGGCTTTAATTGTCCTTTGCCCATAGCTACAGTGTCGTTATGACAAATACATTCTTAGGTCACAGGCCAACAATAACTATCCAATGTTTAACTAAGCTAGGAGCCTACTTCAAAATGCGCTGTGAAACACAACATGAGGTAAAGATTAGTTAAACAGAAGAAGGTCTGTGAATTGTGGCTAATCATAACAAACACAGTCTAAAGACCAGCATCAACCATTAATGCTCAAGAGGAATTTGTTCCAGTTATTGCAAGGGCGTTGGTGCGAGACTAACAACATCATCCAACTGTTCAAACAACTGGCTGACAACTTGTGGCTCTGGAGCTTTTGTTCACAGGGCTCTAGCCATTGTGACACGGTTCCCATTTTCCCAGTTCACATGGCACTCTCAGAGAGCTGATGTGATTTATTAACAACACTAACATGTGTTTAATAAAACACTGATTTGACTTAATCCAGGTGGAGGAGAAGATCAGACCTCACACTGAGGTAAACTACAGACTTACGCTGAATGGCTCGTAGGCGGGGGATGAGGGTGGGACTGCTGGGGGGAGAGGTGCTGGCGCTGTGAAGGCTGCGCCTCTTGTCCATGGAGGGCGACGCCTGCACCGTGATCTTATGCTGGAAGTCTGGAAAGCCAAAATGCACAAGCACATATGGTCATTAAAATCGCAGAACACTAAGTAAAATGTTTGCACAATCCAAATGTTGCACCACTGGCGCACAAATACTATCCAAATGTGGGGACGGGGACGGGGAAGGCGTGCGGTGCCCCCACAAATAAAATCAAATTATGTGGGAAACACTGCATACTATAAGGATTTGAGATAATTAAAAAACACCCCAGAATTATCAAAACAGTGGAATGGTCTCTAACTTTGTATCAATAGGCGCTTTCACACCAGAGTACTTTTCCCAGGAATAGTTCCGATAGTTCTTGGGTTTTTTGCGTTCACACCAAAAAGATCTGGAGCTAGAACTTTTTGTATTGAACCTTTCCACCCCTTTTCAGTGCCTGCTAGAGAGGTGGTACTTTCCTGGGGAGGAAAAGGTTCCAATTTCTGATTGGCTGGGCGGATTGCAAACCACGCCCCGTAAAACTCGGAAACGTTTTTGTGAAGCCGCCATTTTATTTGCTGGCATTAGCATTATTAGCATTAGCCCAGCGCACCAATGGAGAGAGACTCACTTATGGCAACACAAAAGAAAACGTGGGAGCAGTGGAGTGATGAGGAGGTGTTGGCGTTCTGGCAATTTACTCGGAAGGCTTCAGTAGAAGCTGCTGGGAGTCCCAGCAGCTTCTACTGAAGCCAGTCCCCAACTCCTGGGACTTCCGGCCGGGGACTTCGGGTGGCAGTATACGCCGTGAAGTTGTTTGCGGCCTGCCAGTAAACCCAAAGCAGAAGAAGAAGAAGTGACGTCAGCGGCTCCCCTCAGGTACTTATTCCGGTGTGAACGCAATTTACTAGATAGTTCCAGGAAATAAAAGTTCCAGGAACTATTCCAGGGAAAAGTACTTGGGTGTGGAAGCGCCTAATGTCTGGAAATGAAGGAATAATAAAATAATGAATAAAACCTGGTCAAGACAACTATCCACTCACCTGAGGGCAGGCTGATGCGGTTTCCATCCTTCAGTTTGAGGCGGGAACGTTTGAATTTGCCTTTCCTCTTCTTCACGTTGGGCTTATCTTTGTTGAGCTGGAAGATGAGGATGTTGAGCTCTCTCTCCAGCACGTTGATCTCCCGCTCCGCCAGCTGCTGCTCCCGTCTCTTCAGCAGCTCCTCCTGAGACTTCTGCTGGAGGGCGGCCCTCGTTAGCTCCTCTTCTCTGGAACGTAGCTCCTGGAGGAACCAGGTGTTAAGACACATAATGGTTAGAGAGAGAGAGGCACACAGGCTTCTGTTGTCATGGGTACACCGACACACTGACAGGCCCAGGGAAACAGTTGTTTATGTTTCAGGACGATGGGCATCAGTTTATGTTATCTACAACTGAACACAAAGACAGACTATCTTCAGCTCCAGTGAGCCCTGTTACAGGTTACAACAGATGGGTAGAGTCTTTAAAACAGAGGCAGTCACGTTGCATGTAGGGATGCCAGCGATTATTCAAATATTCGTTACAGTCTCCATAATCGAAAATTATTTTTAAAATTCGATTTTATTTATATGCGGGGGTGCGGGTGCGTCGAATAATCGATTATTATTTGCCAGAGCTGTCCGATTTTCGATTTTGATCATGGTCAGTTTCTGGCATCCCTAGTTGCATGATGGGTAATGTAGGTGTAAACAAAAGTCATGCACAAAAAAACCACTTTATGTCTGGTTCTACTACAGTGCTCTTTTGATTTATTTGAAATCATATTTAAATTGTTTACACAGAGAGAATACCGTATGGATCCAGAAAGTATTTTAAAGCCCACTCTGGATTATTATTAAACTGTGAGGTACTTAGTCATGTTTATGTTTGATGTGTGCTCCTTGTCAAATGTTTGAATAAAAAGTAGTTTTCCTAACGTCCATACATGGCCACGTGGATATTCAGGTTTGCAAATATTCCCACAAAACGAGAAAAGCTCTTGCAGACAGACGGCTGTGAGACGGGCGTGAGTGTTAGCTGACTGCTCGATAACTCCCTCGATAACATGTCGGTTTCAGGAGATTACTGCCTGCTGTTTCAGGCCGTGTTACAAAGCTAACCAGTCTCGTCTCCTCCCATGGCTTACTCTTTCTTTATTCCCTCCATTTTCCTTTGAATTGCTCTCAGCTGAGTTATAATAATCCTTACTGGATGACTTCCATAAAGCAGCTTTACAGTGAAGCCACCCACCTAGAAAACAGTGTGACGTTTACAGGAAATGTGCTGATGTAGTGGATACAACAACATGAAATATTATGGAACTTGCGATGGGAAGATGTTAGATTAGGCCTAAAGTTATTTAGTTATTTATTCCCTTAATTCTTGGAAATCTTTAAAAAGCGGGCAAACTATTTAAGGTTTTTATGTCATTGTGAGGCATATAACTCTATCAGTGTTAAAGGTCCCATGTCATGCTTTTCTGGTTATTACCCGTCCCCTTGTGTGTTATGAAGGTTTTTATGCATGTAAACGGTCTGCGAGTCAAAAACCTCAAAGTACACCCTGTAACGAGTAAAACTCTAACACAGAAAATACCTGTCTATGCTCCCCCAGAACGCCTCGTTGGACATTTTCTTTTTCAATTTTTTTCTTCCGGGTACTAAGTGACGTAAAGACGACTGGTCAAAATGGACCAATCCGTGGAGCCGTTACGTCCAGGATTGTCCACGGACTTCCTCACACACACACTCAATCTTTTCTCAGCTGCAGCTCCGCCGATTTCTCCTCCCTGAGACGGCTGGACGCAGCGAGGCTGTGAGTCGCTGTGTGTTCGGGATGGTTTCGCTGTTTCTCGTTGTCTCGCAGACGGCCACTGGGCTCATAGGGAGGGGGGGGGGCAGGAGCTCCAACAAGCCGTTTAGGACAGAAAGTGAATACACATACAGAGATGCTGTATGAGAAACCAATGTGAGTTTGGAAAATTGCACAATATAAATCTATTTTAGTATACCTCATGAATGGAATTGTGACCAGTAGAAATGGCCATGACATGGGACCTTTAAGTGTTTAAGTAGTAAGTGTAAGTTAGTGTTAAAACGGTGGTTTAGCATCAGGTAGAATACATACATTTATAATGCAAACACAATCCAAATGATTAAATATACGGCACAAAGTAATTATTTTAAAACAAAAAACAACACCTGTAGAGTTTTCCGTATCCGTGTCATTCAGTTGACCATGCGTTGATCCAGCTCTGTGTGCTGATCCTGCTGTTTTCTACAAACACTAATTAACCCCCCCCTCTTTAATCCAGCGATGGGGTATTTAAACAGGAAGCAGATTAAGGTCTTAACAAGGGGAAGTACGCCAAAGCACCTTGGCATTAATCACTTGTTTTTATAAATGGCGATTAGCTTTTCCACTGAAAGTAACCAATTAAGGCTTTTAGTCCGTTAAAAGCTGTCCCAGGCAACTCTGCATGGTTAGACTAAATGGTTATGATGGACCGTTCAACATGTAGAGAAAGTACAATAAGGATAGGTTTCTATGGTGTAATGTCTACCTTCTCTTTGGTCCTGAGCTCATCAAACATCTCCTGGATCTCCACCCGCCAGTCGTCCTGCATGCTGTGGAAGGAGTCCTGCGGCATGGTGGCCATCACCGCCTCCTCGATGGCCGACAGCTGCTCCAGGATGCAGGAGAAGGAGGGACGCACGTGGGGGTCTTGGTCCCAGCATTCTGGACACAAACAATGCAATGAAGAGATTGACACATGTGTTTTTCCAGTAATGGGATATTCCCAAATAGACCTGGAGGCAAGCTCTGACAGTTATTGACTAAGAATATGCCTAAGAATAAGAAGTCTACCCAAAATCTGTAAAGGAAACATTTGACCCAACATCCCACACATATTGACTAATGAAAAACTAGTAGAATAATTGAATTGAAAGCAAATGAGCCCTGTGTGTACAGCTACCTTAATGTATAAACAATAAGTAATAGAAACAGGCTAGTTTAATGGCTGTCCAATGTTTTTACAAGTATAACTAAAGACAAAGCCGATTTTATGTTTTATTGATAGTAATATGGTTAATTAAGGGATAATGTTTTTGTCTAGAATTGTGTACTGAGAAAAATACATTTTTGATGAATATGGAACTTTGTTTTCAACGTATAAAAACGTATCTATACATTATAATCCTCATGCAGTTGGTCAAGTGTGAAATTCAAATAAAACAATAAACAAAATATATTTGAAATTCTTTTTTCTAACGTATTTACCTTCCATTAGCTTGGCGAAGGGTTCTGGGCAGGTGGAGGGGATTGGTAGCGTTAATTTATTGACCGCCACACCGTAGGCAACAGCAAGGCCGTCTATCCCGCGATACGGCACCTCCCCTGTCAACAGCTCCCACAGCAAGACTCCATAGCTGGATGACGCACAGACAAAGGAAGGAAAAGGTGAGTAAAGGAGAGGGAGAGATATTAAACAAAATTAATTGGTAATAATGTCAGGCAAATGACTAACAGAAGGTATTTTATTCTGAAGTATGCTCTCTCATACCTCCAGACGTCACTGCCTTTGGAGAAGAGCGATGACTTGATGACCTCGGGGGCCATCCAGGAGTACGTGCCTGCAGCTGACATTTTTGTGGTTCTGTGCCACTCCCTGGCAAGGCCAAAATCTGTGATCTTCAAGGTCTTCCTCCCGATGTCGTCATTCTCAATCGTTTCAAATAATAAAACTGAAAAGAGAGAGGTGTACGTTAGGGAGGGGCCGTGGAAGAGACTGGAAGTGGGAAGGAGGCAGAAAGGGAAGATAAAAAAAGATCAGATGAGGGCATAACAAGCGATGAGTGATGAGGAAGGGAAAAGTGGAAAGACAGGATTGGGATGAGAGACACATGTGAGGGGGGTTAGAGGAGAAAGGAGAAAGACAAGTGAAGAGAAAAGGAGATACAAAG